TTTGCTGCAGAAAGTCTACACATGTGGCCTCGATAGGAAAGGGGCAGTATATACTGTGGGAAGAGGCCACACATTTGTCAAATCCCACAGCCTGGCTTCCCTCCTAACCCTTACACCTCCAATCTGTCATTCAATTGGATAACTGGCTTTGATGGCATCTCAGCTAAAATGAAAGTGTTTATTAGGAACCGTCTTTGCCATGATGAGGAGGAGTCTCCAAAATAATAGTCAAGCTTCACAGCTTTCCTGTAAGACAGAAAAACACAGTTGCACGCATTTTGAATGCAACTTGGAGTTGTAAATGGTACAAAGGAGATGGAAGCAAGGTATTAATGGCCTGCTAGATTGGTCTTTGCTTCTAGGCTTGGGGAACTGAGGTAGAAGGAATAACACTGTATTTTTCTGAGACCCATGTCCCACGCTTTATCTTTTTAAGAGCTTTCCCAGAGCAAGATGTTTATACAACACCTGTGTATTTCTCATCCGACTGGCTGAATGAGTACTGGGATGCTATAGCTGTGGATGACTACCGGTTTGTCTACATGGGACCTAAAGGTTCATGGTAAGACAGCTTGGCTTCTGTCATTTTTACATATAATTTTTTAAGACTTATGGGGGATTTTTAAGACTTACAGGGTTTATCACATCGTATTTCAGGATATCGTGCACTTTCAGGCAGTGCAGCAGTGAATCCAGCAATCTTGTTTCTCAAGCAGCTGATTTTTTTCTGGATGTGAGGTGCCCTTACGCAGTCAGCTGAGGTTCTTTTGCCCTGTAAAAAGTCCTGAATAGTTTACACAGAATCGGTAAGGAGTGTCAGCAGGTTTATGAAAGGTTTTAGAGAAGAAAAGACACAGGGGACCATCAACCTCTTGTGATTTGCAGAGCCAACAGAAGCCTCAGAGGGGCGCTGATGGGTTGGTCAGATATTTTGCAGGTGGCAAATTAGGTTGAGCCTTGGTGATAAATTTGCATTTAGAGTATTCTCAGCAGTTCACGTCACACAATCTCCTGCTGTTGAAGAACTTATAGGACAGACTAACAATTAACTGATAAAGAAACACAGAGGATATAAAATGCTGCAATACTGTGTAGATACAATGGTCTCTGAATACTTAAACAGAAGTAAATGAAGAGACTGACAGGTTGGGATCAGGTTTGCACAGTAAAGGTTACCTTCTGTGTGCTTGATTTGTGCAGACATGAATTCATTGTACATATTTTAGGTACTGCCTTTACTCAAGCCTCTGATTTGCCCCACAGGACTCCATTCCACGCTGATGTCTTCCGTTCCTATAGCTGGTCAGCCAATATATGCGGGAGGAAGAAATGGCTGCTCTACCCACCAGGTCAGGAGGACTACCTGAAAGATCGCCATGGCAACTTGCCTTTCGATGTCACTGCGCCTGGTCTTCAGGACAAGAGTGTTTACCCTCGCTACAACCAAAGCCAACCCCCTGTAGAAATTGTGCAGGAGGCAGGGGAGATAGTCTTCATCCCCAGTGGATGGCACCATCAAGTTTACAACCTGGTAAGATAACTGATGCCAACCTTTTAATGACACAGAGATAAACAGTAGGCTTGAATTGGATCAAACTTTTATTGCCACAGCATTTTGTGGATGCTAAAAGTCTAACTGGACTACAAAAAAGTTTAGAGAGTGAAACTTTTTTAGAAAAAGTTTAGGTAGGGATTAATAGCTATTTAACTTCTTCCGTCAGGAGGATACCATCTCCATTAACCACAACTGGGTGAACGGCTGCAACGTAGCTATAATGTGGTGCTTCCTGCAGGATGAATTAGCAGCTGTCCAGCGGGAAATCAATGAGTGGAAGGACCCTATGGATGATTGGCACTTACAATGTCAGGTATAACAACACGTTTCTGGCTGGCTGACTCAAGGGTCATGTATTTGGGGGTTTTATTGTGCTACCTTATTAGAGCTCTAAGACACACAGGTCCTTAAGCTCCTACCTGGAATTCCTGCATGATTCCTAAGGAAGTAGGAACTTGTGATGACTTCATTTCTCAGGAAGTTAAGTATTACTTTAGGAAGATAAGGAAAGGCTTGTGTCAGTGCATACTTGCTGTGTTAAGGAGGTTAGGATGTTGTCTGAAGAACTAATGCTTCAACTGTTCTTCAGCTACGGGGTTAGCATTGGGATCAATCCTTTATGTAGTATTTACTTTCTCTTTTGTAACATGTAAGTGCTTTTTCATTTAAACAGCAGAACTTAGAGAGTGTCACACAGGAAAACTGGTTTGAATATCATTCGTGATCGAACAGTGAATCCAAAACAAGTAAAATTAAGGTGAAGGTGGCAAGAGGCTTGTGTGTTTGCAAATATGATGCTTTCAGAAGGCAAAATTAATGAACAGTGTTGTTTCCTGTATGTTCCCAAAATCTTAAGTGTGAAGCAGGTGTAAAGTTTATTTCTGGAGGTTGATAATACTGCTCGATTGATACCCTCCAATAATAGTTTCAAAAATCACAGCCATTTAGTAGCTAGAACAAACTGTGTGTTGTTTTTTGGAGGGGCTAATGAAGTGTCGAACCAGTTAAGAAATTTTAGTGCCATCAGGAAACCACAAAAAAAAGTTACTCATGATTCTGGGTAGATAAGCCTTTAATTCTTACTGTAAACGAAAGAGTTCCTTCCATTTAAGTGCTGGTTTTTGTTTTGTTTTTCCCCGTAGCTGATCATGAAATCTTGTACGGGTATAGACTACAAGGAGTTCTACAACTTCCTCAAAGTTATTGCAGAGAACAGGATTTCTATCTTGGAAAATGGCCTGGATGACGAAGCTTCAGCAAAAAACACTCCAAAAGCTGCCATTTCCACCTTGGGCATGCTCCATGCAGTGTTTGATTTAAAGAGGACTGTGAAGGTGTTAACATCATTGAGTGCTAATGAAGATTTCAAGAAACTAGACCTGACATCACTTTCTCCACCTCCGGAGGCACTGCTCCACCACTTGAAAGCAGCAATAGATACAGCGCTACTCTAACTTCCTATTTATTCAGTTCTTTGTAAAATGAACCTTTTGCGAAATGGGTGTTTGTAGAAGAATGACTCCTCCCTGTGTAACAGCTGTTGCAGTTTTAGTACGAAGAGCCTTAATATAGAGTGGGGAGAGAGTACATTCACGAGCTGACTGAGTACTTTTTAAACTGACAGCAGTTAAGTATCTAGAATAACTAGGAAAAAAAAAAGATAATGGGAAAAAAAAATCATGTTATTAGTGTAGAGTCTGATAAATTGAGCCCTGCTGGTAGAGGAACAGAAATTGTGGAGCAAGCTTCAGTCTGGCAGGGCTGAACACTGGAGCTGCAGCGGTCCGCACCATATTCCCTCTGCTTCTGAAAGCACAGCATACTGAGAACTAACCTGTGCTGCAGACTCCAGCATTTAGCTCTGCTTTGAATGGTCACAGTGAAATTGTTTTAAGACCTGTCCTGCCTCCAGGTGTGACTTGGGCTTTTTAATGTTAGAGGATCCTAGTTAGCTCCCCTTGAAGCCAGAGCTGGCTTCCCTGCTGCAGCCTGGCTGTGGAAGAGTTGACTGTACTAGTTTCTTATACAGGGGTGTCTCTCTGAAGCTGAAAGCCTCAGGTAGAACCAGCCTTCGTTCTGCTGCAGGGCCTGCAGGACTGATTTTAACATACCAGGAAGATGTCCTGCTAGCAAATCTACCACTAATAATTTAACCATGCGATCTACTCAAGCTCAAAAGAAGCTTGAATGTACTCTCTCATTTCTACACACTATTTCAAGGCACAGTATTTCATCAAGTAGAGACTTGATTAATCAGGGAAGCTAGCAAGTAGCCTTGTATTATCTCCTAAAAAAAAAAAAAAAAGCCATGCTTTTAACACTCAGATAGCACTTCTGCATGGTTACAGAGCACAATTTGCAACCTGAATGCTACCCTCAGGCTAAAGTACATTTCCAGTGAAGCATCCCTCTTGCTTTTACTGGTTGGCAAGAAAGCCTAGAAGCACAAATGGCTGCACACTGTTACCTTAGCTGCCTCTTTAGGGCTCACTTGAATTCCTGGTCAAGAACTTCCTGAATTTTTAAACAGAGTTGACCAGTAAGAGCAACTAATAAGCTTATGTTTAGACAGTGCAATAGTAGGAGTCATCAATAGGCTGAAAAATCTCAACGTTTTCTAGATAATCCTGTGAAGTTTGTACATGCATGCATTCTGCATGTGCTATTTTGTAGTAGAAGTCAAGCATTTTGAGTAGGAAATGGTACCTGAGAAGAAAATCAATACCTAGAGCATGGAAGAACACAGTATGGAGAAAATACTTTTTTTTGTTGTTTTTAAACAGCTGTGACTACATCTCTGTGATTCATCCTTCTGGCAGGGTATTTCTTTGGACTGAAAAAGTGCCAGTTCTAAGCAAGTCTGAAATTAAAAGTTCACAGCTGCCACTTATGCTTGTTTACATTCTCAAATGTAGGCAGCTGGAGGTTTTCTTTCTTACAAGAATAAGGTGAGGTTTCAGAGAGACAAGAAACAATGCTTTCAAGGTGATAATCAGGGTGCTGGTAGGAAAGCACGTTTGGTTTTGTATTCCCCAGTCTCACTGCATGCTGTGTAACTGGTATTGGCACCAATCACTTTATAAAATTGCAGTGAATTCCATGGGTGCTTAAAGGGCTTGCTTAGGTGAACAATACTTTTCATTTCATGTCAATGCAAGTCTAGCTTTTACACTGAGAACCCAGTATATCAGCCTACCCAGGATCAGTTTGGGCACTGCTGTCCCGCAGACTTCATCCACATTTCTGCAGGGAAAAGTAGTACAAAAGTTGGCTTTATTGGTTCAGTCTCTTACAATTATATTAGAAATTTTGTATTTCAAATTATTCCATTCCCATAGAAGTCAGCAAGCAAGCCACGTCTTTTCTAAAGTTAAAGGAAAGGAAATTCTCACAAGAGTCTGAAAACAGCAACAGGGTTGAAATAAGTATACAAACCTAGAATCTCTCTTAAAAATTAAACAGCTTTATTTATTTAAATACAGTTACTGTAAAACATACATTAGGATACTCTCATACCAATATATTAACTATTGTAACCAGTGTACTATTTATTAAAGCATAATACTTATGACAAACAGGAAGAAACAGTCTGCTGAGTTTTGTTTTCCTGAAGTCACAGACTTGAACAATTTAAAAGTCAAACTATAAAAAAACAAAACAGCAGGTTAAAATCTAGTTCAAAAGAGCTTTTGCTCTAATATACACACATTAGTATTTTCATCTGATAGCAACAGCATACCAAATATCCATTTGCCTTTTTTAAAGGCAGAATAAAAACCAGCCCCATTTTAATCTGATTTGTACCCCTCACTGGTGTCAGTGGGTGGTCCGTCAGCACAAGGCTGTGCACCTCAGAAAAAAATCAGTGTTTTTGCAACTCTGTCAGCGCAGAAGGCCGTGTGTTTTTGTGTATTTTCGCCCCAGAATTTGAGACCTGTCACCTTTTTATTGGGCACACACAAACCCCTGCAGAATTACAAAGCGGCACCAGCATGTTCAAGGTGCAAGTGTCACATCCCTGAGATTTGATAGGAGTCTGCAGAGTATAAATACAAATTATACAAGTATCTTAAGGAAGTTAGTCAATAGCAGCTTTACAGTGCAATGAAGAGGTACTGAGTTTGGCATAGGGAGGAAGAGGAACAGAAATATCTTAGGGATACAGGGAAAGCCACCTCACTCCAGGTACAAGTTGTTTAGGAGTGCAGAGACGTCTCTCTTGCCTGTGCCACATTTCTGCCACCCAGAAATAGTCCCACCAAAATGTCTCTCCAGGCTTCATTTGACCACTTTCTACAAAACGACCTCTTCTCCCTTATGGCAGTTCACCAGTGCAAAACAAACACAGCAACTGAGAGAACAGTTAAAAAAAAGGGTTTTGAGGGAAAGAGGCAGATTGCCATTTTTAGGAAAGCGAAATAAACCTATAGGGCAAAAAAGAAACCTTGACCGCTTTCCACAGAGATTCCCCAACGCAAAGCTGAGGTTGTGTATCGAAGGCTTCCAGCCCACAGCCATCTGCGTGTCTGTGCTTTGCTGTCTTAGCTACTCTAAGAGAAAAGCCAACAAGAAAGCCTCTGAAAAATAACCATCCTTCCCTTCCTGCAGGCAGCTGGAGCAGCAGCGACTCGGTGCCTTCTTCATCCAACAGTGCTTGGTCAACAAAACGTGGCAGGGAGGAGGCTCCCTTCTGGTCCTGGGGCTCAGGAGCTGTGGCTCAGGTGGCAGTTCTCTCTCTGGTGGAGTCTCATCCTCTGTATGTGCTCGTAGCAAGACTGGGCAAAGAACAAAGCAACCCATTAGGGAAAAGTTTAGGAGCTTTGGAGCCACATTTTGGTCTCCAGCACACAGAGTGAGGCTGGATTACCACCCTAAACTAGATAAAAGATTAAATCTGCATGTTGTAAGTTAATGATAAAAGTATTTTGACTAGAAGGAAAAGAACCTGTGCTAGGCATATGAGCAGCCCTCTAAAATTGTACAAAGGTTGCAAGCATCAGTGTCTCCACAGAAAAAAAAGGATTTCCTATAGCTTCTTGAAACAGTCACTGATAATAAAATTTCCTCACCTCCAGTGCTGTTAGCAGGAAGTCATACAGTCCTCCTTGATTAGTGGGGTCCATCAAGTCTCTGATCAGATGGATCTCAGCTCCCAGGTGCTGGATTCTAGGAAAAAAGGAAAGCTACAATTGGAACAAATCCCTGGGATTATGTAGAGAGGGAGGCACAGGTCTGGAAATCCATTGCTGATTCCCTGTGCATCACCCTAATCTTCAGGAGGCTGAGTCCTTGAAGCATCCTGCGTGACAGGATGTCAGTGAGGATGCCCAGCCTCTCTGATTCCACTCCTCTATCACCTACAGACAAGAAAGATGCCTGGCAATACAAATCTGTATCACACAACGGTAGCAAAAATAAATAACAATAACAGTAAAAAAAAAAAATCAAAAAATCTGGATTTCAAGACTCAGCCCCAAGTTTAAACATTTCACTTTTTTTTTTTTTTTTTTTTTTTTAACATTTACAATCATTCCTATACAGGAGAAGTCCAATTACCAGGTGGTCAGTATTCAAGACCTTCCTAGTCTCCAAACTGAACCACAGTGCCTCATCGAGAACAGAAAATTGAAGAGATTTCTCAAATGGTTATGAGGGCAGAGCAAGCGAGACACCAACTAGAAGTCAACCCTAAGCTTTTCACCCTCAAAACATGAGCGCAAAGTAATTCACCAGCCTTTCAGCAGCTCTTGCAAACCTCTTGAAAAAGATCCAGATAGGACTAGTGTCTGCTGGAAGGACAGCAAGGTGAACACAACACCTTTCTTGCATCATCTGCACTGCACTGGAGTTGATTTAAAGCCTGTTGTCTTCTGATTTTTCCTTCACATCTCTCTCAATCTATGAATGCATCAACAATTGGCCTTCAAAGACCACATATTCCTGTTTTCTATGATAATCTGGGATGCCAGTCAGAATGCATTTCTCATGACAACCCTGAACCACCCTCTTGGATAGGAGACAGCCAGTCCCCAACCACGTTAGGTCATGGCCAACACCATCAGGCCACAGCTGGCAGACCATAGAGTGAAAGAACCCAAATACAGCTTAGGAAAAAAAACACATTAATACACAACCCCTTGTTTTTCTAATTAAAACTATTGGACCTGGAAACATGCCTGACTGAGGTAGCACACAACCATGGGACTGGGAAGTGAAAAGGTGCCACTTACTTAGCTCGCGACACAACGTACATCAGCAGGGGCAAGAGGTCGTCCATGGGGAGCTTGTAGTCTGTCTCCACCACCCGGGACACAGTGCTCTCGATCTCCTCGTACGTCTTCTGGAGGATCAGAAGCTTTTCACGGGGATCCACTGTGGTGCTGTCAGTAGTGAAAACAGCTGGGTCAAAGATGCTACCTCTACACGGGTCAAGGGATAAAGCAGTGGCACTTAAAAAAATAAAAGACTCAGAGCAGACCTTCACACTACAAAAAAAGTCTGTCAATTGTCTTAAATGGCAACACCAAAAGGGAGTCAACAAGGCAGTGCCAGGAAGGTATCACCATGGTGTAATGAGCTCCAGGTGGACCTTGAGCCTCACCAGGTCCTAAGCACCATAATGCCAACCTCTCATTTTAGGTAGGACTTACCTGAGTCACTGTCCCTCAAATAAAATTTAAGCGGCGTGGAACAAATCACTTCGGGCAGCTCTACCGAGGAAGTGTTCTCGTAGGGGAATAATACAGTTGTCACATCTATAAAGTTGGTTTTCCTGCCCATCACATCCTACAAGGCACTCACCTGCACTGCCTTCCCCAGACAGGGGTCACAGTGGCTTCCCAAGGGGTCTCTCACCAGGACTAGCACACACAAGTACCCAAGGACTCCACGTGATCCAGCTCTCAACACTTCTCTGCACTATTTTATCTCCCTTCCCACATCTTCTAAGCCAAAAAAAAATCAAGCAAAGCTTCTAAAATTGAACTTGACTTTGCTAACATTAACATATTGGGACACCAAACTGCCTGGATATCCCTCACCTAGCTCCATCCGTGCATCCAGAGGAATGGGTTATATCATGACCTGGCAGTCACAGACAGGCCCAATTTGTGAGGCATATTCACATGAGCAAACTCAATTTCAAAGCCAGATTTTATAAAGGATTTTTTCTCAGCAAAATTATATGGAGATATTTTCCAGGCGAGGATTGCATTTAAATACTTTAGATATTGTCTTGACACTTATGGAAGGAAAGAAAATTTCTACAAAAGATACATTATAGATTCAGCTGAATGAATGTCACAAATAGTTTTTCTTTCAACAACCTTGCAGGCTGAACCACATATGCTTTTGTAAGCAGGTGTGTTGTTATGGCACCTCCCAGAATAAGGAAAATCCCCATCAGCTCTGACTGTCAGTAGGTTAAGGCTGGTGACTTACATCAGCTTCTGCAAGCACTCCGTGGCAGACAGGAAACACTTGTCCTTGATGAGGGACCGCCTCTGAAAAGGAGACAAAGAGTTGTGCCTCTGGAAGAGCATCTCCCCAAGAGCCACCCCATGGCTCCTCAGTGCTGGGCACAAAACTAGTGTATTTGCTGCCCACTGAGGGCAAAATAAAGCTCTTGTAGACAGTGCTGCACTATTGAGATTGGAACTGTAGACATCCAAGTGCGTTCAAACGTAGATGTCTTTGAAAAAACTGAGCAGAGTAAATATTCCCACACAGAGATACTGATATGCAGTAGTTACAGGCCATAACTAATCATCACATGTCATTTAGGATTTCTGAGTGCAGTGCAGGGTCTCTGGGCTCACTCAGGTGAAGCTCAATCGTTGGCCAACACGTTGGAACCCCAATGATATGACAGAGGTGCTAACTCTTACCTGGTTGGTGGTCAAGGTGAGATCTTTCAGAGGCCAAAGGTGTCTGAAAGGAGATGACAGAAAAAAAGGTTTAGAAGGCAGATGTCCATGTCTTAACTCCACCCTAAGTCAGTCTTGACTGTTCATATCTCTTCGCTCAAGGTGATGCAGAAGTCACGGTGGTGCACGAGGCTGAGTTCTCTACTCTTATTACATGGCTACAGGAGAAAAAATAGGTCGGTCATTGACCTGAAATTAGGGTTTGTTTCACCAACAGATGCTCCTGTAATAATCCATGGAGAGCTTTGGCACTTTCAGGTGAAAATCTTCTCCCTGGGTCTAGACTGAATCACATTGGGACTCTGGGTGTCTTGCTATGCCACTTAGACCATTGAGCAGCAGATGACACAGTTTTAGAAAACCTCACATGTCTCTTGAGTCTGAGTCACTGAGTCATTAGTCTTCACATAACATTTCCAAAGATGGATTTCACTGAAGGAATGGGTGAAGATACGTCTGCCTCTACAGCCTTTCCCCTGTCTCGAGACTGTGTGCCCGTGCAGCAGGTACCGTTTGGTGGTCTACATTCCTTTCTGAGACACATCTATAAATGATATCCTATTGTTTCCAAGTTGGAGGAAACCATTTATTTGGTGAGTTAGAAACTGAAGAGTTTTGCTAAAGTAAAATTAGCACAGCTAATAGCAGCTTTCCACTAGTCAACGTTGTCCTTCCAGACAGCAGTGCAGGCACTCCATGACGGGACTTCCTCCAGCAGCCTAGGGAAGACTTCAATTCCTTCCCCCCCAATGCCATCAAACCTTCCCTGGCTGCCAGCTTCCCAGCTGATATCAGAGTGTATCCTGAGATGAAAAAAAGCCACTTACTTCTGTACATCCAGAAACTCTAGCAGCTTGATATCAGGAAACAGACTTAGGTCTACAATCCCTTGACAGTAGAGGTCATCTTCTCTTTCATGGTAGAGCATGTAGAGCATGAAAAGCTCAGGGTAGAAGCAGGGCAAGATCAATGGCAGGACCACACTGCAAGCCTTCTGGTCACTACGGCAGAGACAAGCACAGCTGAGTCCTGTTGAGACTTAGGTCCCCCCAAAATATTCCTAACATCCTATTCTAGGAACATTATGTCTTCTGCCTTCTCTGCCATGTTTCCTGCAGCACACTCCCTGTTTCCAAGCCTGCCTTTTTCCCCAGTGATGGTATGGAAGGCTCCTGCAGCTAATGTGAAGCATGTGGTGGTGCTGGGACTGCTGTCCTGCACACAACCAGCCCAACAGTTGGTGTGGGTTATCTCACAGGGCTGCATCCCACCTGCCTCCAACTCCCCACACCTTTATTCTGCTACAGAACATGATTAGAAGAAGCTGCTGCTCTGCTACAAGCAAAAATACTGAAAACTCTGAACTCTTAAAAAAACAGTGTGAGATGTAAACCTGTGTCAAATGGACAAATGCAATCACTTTAGCATTTAATGCATTTTAGAAAACACCTCTAGGCTTAAGCAGCCTGAAGTTAAACAGCCAGCAGTGACACCTACCTTGTCTCTCCATCCACACACTTAGCAGGCATTTGGCCTTTCTGTTCCAGTGCCAGATGGAGCAAACCCCTAGGAGAGAAGCAGAGCTAAGTTTTATTTCTCTGAAGGCATGTTTTGTATTGTAGGCATCCTGGTTTGTTCTACATTGAAATCCCTGATTAATAGAGCTTCATAGAATGATCTCTGGCTCCAGGAGCTCTATCAACAAACCAAACCTCACAGTTTGAGGGCATTCTCCATTTTACTAGCAGTAGATGCCAGAAATGAACGAGTGCTTCTCAATATCTGTATGCCTTCTGAAAATTAGGGCAATCAATCCAAAGATCCTAACTGTGGTCTTCATTGAGCTCCTTGTATTCTCAGTTAAGAAACATGAGGTTTCAGGATCTGTCACACCAGCCAATTCTTTAATCTATCTATGAACGTTCAAGGATGCTCTACTCTGAAAAAGTAGCTTGGGTTTGTCTTGATATTTCCAAACCAGACTGCTTAATACTGAAAAGGGCTAAGGAGAGGTTGCTTGTTTTTGGCATAGAAGCATCAGTCTAGGAGACATAGCCAGAGGGACCCTGGCTAAGCTCCCAACACTACACCAGAAAGGTCTTGAGATACAAAGCAAGCTTTCCAAGCACCAACCTCAGAAGCTCATGTGAAGGTTCACACGAACCAGTGCTTAGGTTGACAGCCCTGTTGTGCTGCTCACAAACACAGCCCAAATCCTTCCACTTTGCCTCTTTCACAACACAGACACACAGCAGATGAAGTGGAATCAAGTCTGACTCATTCCCATCAGCTGTGCTGGTGTTTTCAGACTGCCCCAGGAGGGAGAACTCTTCGTGGCAGGGCTGGCAGCCTTCCTCAAGTACACAAGGCTGATAACAACAAAGCTTTTATCCAGCCTCCTCATTTTAAGGCAATATCTTCCCCAAGTGCAGTTAGAGGCAGAGCTCCCCACCTTTGCCTACTGTGGCATTTCTTATATCTCCTGCTAAACAGATATTCAAGCAGCAACAGAACCTCAATCATGCCTTTGATCCCATCCTTATGTACCCATGGGCACAACCACCTGGCTGAACAACCTCAGTTTGGAGTTTCTACCCACTACAGCCCAGCCTCAGCAATGCACTCAGGCTGCACATTGCCTCCAGGTGAGTTGAGGCATGCTAAGCTTAAATTCTTTTTCATTCAGTTATCGATATTGATCACCATTGCTGCATGCTTTGATATACTTTCCTGAACAATGGACATGACATACTTCCTAGGTCCATAAGAGCTTAGTTACTACAAATACCTCTATCCAACACAGTTTTGAATCAAGTCTCCTCCCCCCAGAAAAAACAAACAAACAAACAAACAAAACAGTGTGAAATAAAGCAACAATGACATGAAAGAGTTATCCCAACAGTCTTCTTAACATACCTATTGGAAAGGCCTCAGATTTCTTTACTTACTGGTAAAACTCCCATATTTTTTTCGCATAGTACTTGACTTCCTCTTGTGCCATAGTCAGCAAGTGTCTGTTGGCCCCAATCCCAGAATATGTTGCCTGAAAAGCTATTGTCAAGGCCTTCAGCAGCTTTCCCAGTGGATGCAGAGAAGACTTCAACGCCTGCATGATAAAGGAAAATTAAGTTTTACAAGTCCGCCTTTGCCATGAGCAGAGGAGAACACTTAAAGGCAATCCAACCTTCTCTTGTCAGCAGAGGAGAACAAGCCTAGAGGTAATCACCTATAATTTTGGTCTATTTGAACTGCCAAGAGCCCATTCTCCTCCCATTGTCAGAAAGAAATGTGCTTAGTAGAACTTGCTGCTCTGATGATCTTTGCTGTGATAAGCAAGAGAGAGCAAAGGATGCTCCAGGGTAAGGCTGAGTGCAAAACAACTTTGAGTGCATGGAAGTTGATTAATCATTTCCAGCAGCTGGTTATTCCCTGACACAGCTTGAGAACCGAGAGTAAAGCGTTATCAGCACTTTCCTGGCCTGTATAGCTGTACACAATATATCCAAAAGGCATGCAAGAAAGCCCTCCTCTTCACAAAGGTATTCACACATTTTAGACAAGACCCTGAAGTCATTGGCTGTATTGTACATGCTAACAGAAAGCAAGTTTCTCTGACCTTTGTTCACATCTGATGGACAGACATAGCTCACTGGGATTTTAAACCTTACCTTCTCTAAATAACGCTGTAGTGACTCCAGTTCCTTGAGGTGGACAAGCTCTTCAAGAATATCTTCTATTTTCCAGGAGACATCCTCAGTCCCCCTGGAAAATTAAGAGGTGAGAATGAAAAGCTGTGTAGGAAAGATTTAGGATAAATCCCATCTGGTCTTGCAGGTGGATACCAAGGGTGCAGTAAGACTATTAGAACAAAAGAATTCTGCTCTACCCTTTTATATGGAAATGCACCACCTTATAGCAGCTGCAGTCACCTAAAACTCATCACCTTCAGGTCCCCTCACAGCCAGCCTGAGTTGCATCCTGCACATGCTCATCTGATCTTTTTGAGACATTTTCTTCAGGGAAAATGAGTTCAGCCTGAATTTGCTGACAATGTCAGGTAGGTCTGCTTTAACTAGCAGAGGAGCCAGCGATGACTGATCCACATGCAGATGTCTACATTTAATCACATGAATCCCACCCACATTTTCATACAGGGGAATCAGCCTCAAGAGCACAATAATATATACAGACTTAAAAGTCAACCTCCTCCAAGAGATAGTGTCATAGACAGGAAAAATGGGATAATTTGGGGGTTTATAGCTTCAGTGCAAGGCAGACTCAATGTAAGTTGAATGGTTTACTCAAACATAAACCACTCTCCTCTCTACACAGATGGGCTCCTCAGTTGCCACAAGGGCACATAATATTCCTACCTGTGGCAGAAGAGGTACTCCTGAGACTTCCTTAGTTCTTTGCTTGTTTGTATGTGGAACCCTGTAAAAGACTCTTCTGTTTCTTCTTTGCAGCCGGAATGGATGAACTCCAGGAACTGGTCGTAGATTCCCTTCCACCTCTTCTCTACTGGGAATTCCTTGAGGCCCAGCTGACTGCAGAACAAGAATGGCGTTAGGCTTCTATACACCCCTCCGTATATATATTTCAGACTTCACTTTCAAACACGGGAGGTTCTCCATAATCAGATATCAACATAAGAACTATGGAAGCGGAGAAGTCAGTAGTGCCTAGCTGGTGAGTCAGAAAAAGCAACTCAAGTCTATTTGCATGGCAATGAGATACTTTGGGTCAAGAAAAGAGCATCCCTCTGTGGGGCTCAGACCCAAGTATAAGAGTCTGTACTGAAGGATGTGGCCCGACAGCTTCAGCTCAATTGCTCCTGTCCTGCACTGGCACCACTGCCTGCGTGCTCTGATCCTGGCTCCACACCTTCCTCCCCATAGAGCACAACCCAACCCGAGCCCTTCAGAGCTTCACGTGCACACACACATGAACAAATTACTCAAAACATTCAGCTTCCAAAACTCTCTCCAGCTTGAGGATGGGAGCACCTCTGGGTGGCCAGTGGCAGCACAGGAGAAGAACACCTGGTTTCTGCTTCCCTTTAATTAAGATTAAAGGACAAGCTTAGCTCTCCTTTCTTCTTTCTCTCCTTGTATAAACACTAGTTTTCAGACCAGCTCTTTTAGGCAAGGATTGCCTTCATCCCTGAAGGGACTGGTCCAGTACTCTTCCAGGTATTGTCAAAACACAAATCACAACCCAAGAAGTAGGCTGGTTTTGCTCACGTTTTGGTTATCCTCTCATCCGGCTGTTCGTTCGATGTATTCAGGATGCCTTGTGTCTGCAGGCCTTGCCCTGATTTGTTAGTAAAGGTTCCCTCCAGGATGAAACCATTGGCAAACTGACAGCTTTCCCTGCAACAGAGAAATACAGGGTTATTCTGCCAAGATCTCATTAGCGAGAGGAAACAAGCTGGACCGAGATCTCGAATTCTCTTTTCAGCAGAGCCAGCTCCTGAAATGGTGACTAAGAACAACTTTCAGCACTGAAGTGCACATTTGCAGCATCCAAAACAATAGCATCATTAAGGTAGTTATCATTGGAGACAATACATCTCTGCTGTCGAGTGACATGTAGAATTTTGGAGGGTGAAGACATCACTGAGTAAGACTCTTGCATTATATTTTACAAGTAGCCAATATCTTTTTTTACATTATAAAATTAAAACACATGAAACTGTAATTTCTCCTCTATTTTTCCTCTGCTTGTTAAAACCACAAACAAGTTTGGCCTCATGGGTAGAGGGAAACATATGATATTCACCACAAAAGCTTTCAAAACGTTCTCTGCTACCAAGAAAAACCTTAAATTCTCTGGGGCAAATACGGGAGAAGACAGGCAGTAGCTTTATTCAAACTTAAAAGGTTTTAATTAAACCAAATCCAAAGTTAAACAATATCGTAATTAATCTGGCTTCCAATGCAAGACTGAAATCCTTACTGCTCATAGCAGGAAGCATTCTGTCTTGAGATAATGAGCACATTTTTCTAAACTAACCACCAAACTAAACATTAATTTTGGAGGGAGCTGCATCTAAAAACTAGGAGCTGCTTCTGCAAATTCACCCCAACACCTCTGGCTGAAGAAGATTATGACACAAGCACTTCCTCCCATGACAAGTCAGTAAATGACGGGGCTAATTTGCAATTGCTACCCTCACCGAGTATCTATTTTGACATCAACTCAGTCTGATTTGACCACACGCATCCCGTCAAACTTGCCACGTGTTTCTGTAACAAGCCAGAGGACTAGTTTTCCCTGCAACAGGGCACTTGATGAGCACTTTAACCAGATATTTCAGTTAAAGATTAACTGAAAAATGCCGAACATGTCAGTGCACTAGCCAGATTGTAAAATTAAGCTTCCAAGATCCTTCAGCTATGTTAACATGTGGGTTATGCTAGCAGAGCACTGGTACTGCAGCTCTGTTTTCTTCATGCATCATTTCCTGTGCTCCCAAGCCACTACAAAGGCAAAAACATTTGTTCTAAGAATACAGGAACATCCTAGCTGCAGCTGTGAAGTGCAGCCAAATATCTCCCACAAACAACAAAAATAATAATAATAATAAAAAAAACAAACAACAAAGCCTTGTGTAAAAAGAAAAAACAAAACAACTAAAGCCTTCATCCTCCTGCCTCTTGAAATCTCTCAGCTGCAGCCTTCCTTCTGTGAATGAAAAAGATAACAAGAGGAGGCAGGGAATAACAGGAAAATGTTATTTTTTGGAGGGATGGGGTATGGGACTTTGAAGAATTTATTGGCCTTTTAGAAAGCAAGCAACCATATGGATAGGGAGAGATGAAGTACACGCTCACCTTTCCAACAAAGGTTAGGTCTTCTGTGAAGTTTCCTTCGTAGACCGAGTCATCTTCCAAGAGCAGAATCCCAGAACCCTTCATTTGAAAAGCACAAGCAATGAATTCATGACACTAACTCCCCTCCCTACTCCAGTTCATCTAGAAAAAGCCACTGGCTCAGACTATTTATGGGCTGCAGGTTCTGAATACCTTTATGAAAGCCCAACGTATCATCTGAAATACTCAAGAGGAAAGCAAGGAGGTGTTTTAGAGACAGCCCATTAGGCATCCCAGCGTGGAAGAGATGTACACAGTAGTCAGGTGGTTTTAACCAATATTACATTTATTTCCTTAGAACAAGGCAGAAATAGCAGTTTCTTACTCTGAGTGGTCACCTAGTGCTGTGATATGGATCAAATTCATGACCCTCCTGATCCTATGACCTCCTGGTGACTGTAGTCAGTTGTGTCATTCTTTGTAAGAGAAAAGAGGAAGACAGCTGCCGTGGAGAATTAGATTTGTCCCTTGCTTTGCAGTCAACGGGGCTTTAATGAGCTGTTCCTAAGCACTTATGAAATGATTCTTTCCATTACTTCCCAACTCCCAAGGCTACTTACAGTAGCACACATTTCAGAGGAAGAGCACCAAAATGCAGAACAGACACAGAATAATTTCTGCCAGTGGGGTAAGATTCTTCTCACTGGGGCTTGGCCCAAGGTTTGAGCCCAAAGGTTTATACATACCCACACCAGCCAGAAAATGTGGTCACTTTTAGAGTTGTAACACATTTTCCACTGGAACGGTTTTCTTGATGGAAAGTGCCCTTTTTTGGCAAAAATAAAAGGTTTCCACGGGAAGCTTCTTGGCCATACCAATTTTCCACTAGGAAAACTGAAGCGATTGCTCCCACCCGGAAGCCTTCTGAAGTTAAAGGAGCCTTTGGCAGCTGGCAGACCAAAAGACAGCTTTATTTTGGTTCCCTGCAGATGGAACTGTTATGGAAAGCCCTTCCAACAGAGTTTCCATGCTAAACATTTTGTCCTAATTCAGTGTGAGGGGAGGGGGTTGTTTGTTTTTTTTTTTTAAGTGCGTATTTTTCATGAGAAGAAATGTTTTTATTTCCAAGCCAGCTCTCCTATGCCAGTCCCTTTTGCTTTCTACAGCAACATCTAAATTTTCAATGAACTGGAAAGACAGCTGAGCATAGGTAAGCTCACATTGGCAAGGTAAAGACTTGATGATATCCAAGACAGGCATAGCATTGCATATACTAGCACAGCACTTCACATGAGTTTTGTTCTATACTCGTGACCTGATGGTCAATTGAACAGCAAAGCTTACAAAGCGTCTTAGCATTAGCAAGGAGAAAAGAGTCTCCCACATAGTTCCTACCTGTACCTTGTGAAGGTGGTAAGAAGTGGAAGATTTCATCTAGGCTTTGTTCTTCAAAAATGTTATTGTGGTAAAATATTAAGGCTTAAGTTTTCTTGCCTTCTATTTTCCCTCAGAGATTAATTATGAAGGGAAATCTTAATCTTGTCCTCAATGGGGGAATTCCATGTCCCACCAACACCTAGAGTCCACTGAAAACGGATACTTACCACCATTTTGTCAGCATGAAATGTCCTTTGATAGCAGACACCCGACTGGGTGACTACAATGCCTTGTCCGTGTTTGTGATCATCGAGCCATGTCCCTATGTATCTCTCCCCTCTAGAATGCAATAGAAAACATTTTTTTTTCTTCTATTTCACTACATTTTAGTCAATCTGATATATCACCTACTGAGGCTACGTTTACCTGATATAATGCTCCACATAGCATAAAAGCCAGACTTACTGCACAAACCCAACTCTGCAATTCTCCAGGAGTTCAGGCCTTATAGCAGAGGCTGAACACATTACTCCTTCCCAATTCCTCCTGTCAAAACATGAAGCTTTCCCTGTGCCAATAGAGGGGGAAAACTCTCAGGCACCTACAGCCATTGCTGATCTATACACCACCTTTACCTGTCTTTGTCTTCCCAGACTCCGTATCCATTCTTCTTGTCATTTTCCCACTGTCCCGTGTATTTAAATGGATGCTCAGCTGAGTGGTTCTCCAGTATCCCAAACCCTTGACGCACGTTGTCTTTGAAGTAGCCTTTGTAGACCATATCGTTCCCATATCTGCAGGGAGAGATACAGAGAGAATCTGTAGATTCTGTGCCTATTTGATAGCTCCTATTGGAGCAGCAAGACAAAAAAGCGAGTACATTGGGCACTTCTGCCTGCTAAATATTGCACATGTTTGACAGATGACTCTGGAACCCCTAGTTGTTCACTATTAGGAACATGCATGATGCAAGCTAATCACTTAACAGATAGCTTTCAACATAACCTGAGCACACAACACTTAGGGTTTGTAGTTGTCCTCTGAGAGGCTACTCAGCGCTTGACCTCTTGCCAACCAGATCCCAGTGACAACAGGTTAATCCAGGGTGGGAGTAGATCTGATCAAGCTGGAAGACAGATCTGCCTTCACCTTTCTTTGCCCACCCCTTCTGCTGCTGTTTGTGGCCTTCTAAATTGAAGGGGGATGGAAGGTAAGGCTGGGACACTGCCATATGCCCACAATAAGGTGCTTTTCAGGCCAGAGTCCATCTAGCTAAATCCCCAGAGCACCACTTTGAGACACAATTGTGCAAATGATTCTTCCCAGAAGCATCTGGCACTCCGCTTCCTAAATTAAGCTCTGGGTTTAAGCTCAGAATTTGAGTGAGCAAGAGAAGCAAACTGGGGGAAGCAGTCCACTTCAGGATAATGGTTATGATTACCAGACCAACGATCCAATCCACCATTAAGGAAACTGCTCTACATAAGGTTTAGGTCAGACAGCATGGCCAGCTAAGAGAGTGCTGTGTGCTTCTCCAAGCCTGTCCAGGGCTGATGGCACACCATGCACTCTCTACTCTCAACCACAAGCACAAATATCCAACAACATCCTCGCGAAAAGGACACAGAGTAGTTATAATGGTTATAGCTTGTTGGGAAGCTATAACCATCTTTAACCAGAGTCCATCTTTGGGTTTTACTTACTCACAGATTCCATAGCCTCTCATCTTGCCCTCATACCAGTGGCATTTGTAGCAGTCATACCGGTCTTCAGATCTGCGAGGGACAAGGCATATTCCAAACCTACAGGGTGCATATGGTGGAGGTCAGCACGACAACGAGACTCAGTTGTATTGGATAAGATTTAAAAACTAAGGGCCTGCCAAAGTGATTAAAATGTGTGGGGCCAGTTTTACTTCTGACATTAATGAAATGTTTTCTTAACCCAACACTAAGTATTTGAGACATTTTAAAATATAGCTTATTCTGAAAATCATTTAGAAATATGAAATCTAAAAGTCTTATTTTTCTCAAATTTGTTGAAAATAATGTTTGAATTTCATACTATGTTTTCCTTCCCTCTGAAAAAATCTGATTTAAGAGAGATTTTTAAAAGATATCCAAAACAGATTTTCCAAGGTATTTCATATGAAAGAATTCACCTAGATTTGGAGATCAAAGGTGAGATTCATCCAATCAAATGGACATGTCTGCATCTGAACAGGTCATCTGCACACTCTCCCTTTTTTGTATTCACTGGTAATCCACTCATTAAGTTACAACTCACTGAGCCTAATACAGGGGGCCAGAAAAGGTCAAATAAATTGGGCTCTAACAGTGAATAGAGCCCCTAAGCAAGATAACCAGCATCTCCGTACCTCTAAGAGGAACTATTCCTTAGCTTACTTTGAAAGCAAAAAATGTCTTAGGATTTTTATTTAAGGCTTACCCATGCTCCAAGCCTTCTTTGAAATCTCCAACGTGGTTGCGTCCATCACGCCACTTCACTGTCCCCCTGCAATTTGAAGGGAGTGTTACACAAGTACGATCACCAGCGATATACAGAGCTGCAACAGACGTTATCAATATCCTAGAGACTGCTAACATCAGAATGTTTCCTCAGAGGACAACGAGAGGGAGAGTTCTATGGGCACCTCTGGGATCTTGGATCGCATCGAAGGGTTTGATACCGTAAGGGTTTCATGTCCTGGAATGAGCTGGAAGAATCTTTTTTCCAAATTCTTTTATCTCAAAATCATTTTGTAGAGTTGCTGGGTCATTCATTTATGACAGTGCACCTGATTCTTTTTTAATTGAAGCAGAGCACATGATTAAGCCAGTTGAAGTTCCAGCAGGGCACATCCCTGTAGACAAGTTAATGACACCACAGCCCAGAAATTCATTCATTCTACCAGGCACAATGAAAACAAAAGAGATGAGTACTGGCCTAAAGGGATTGTATCTTTCCATCTGTTTTGTGCTGGGGTTGTAGAAATGATTACACAAGGTAACAATGCAACAATGAGACTGGAACTGTCACAGCGATGCAATGGTCAAATTATTGCACAACCTTGCCCAGCTGTGAATGAATTTCCTCCCTCTTCCTCTCCCAGTCCACCCACACCCACTCACTGTTTTAACTCTTGCAACAGCCCAGACACAGCCAGTTCGCTACACGTCCCCAGCCAAAGACAGTGCAAATTGGTGCAGTACCAAAACCCTGACGTGTTGTCTTGACTTTCACCAAGGTTGTTTTCAACACTTACACGTGACAGACTCTTTTTTGGGTTTTAAGATACAGGGAAGTGGTCAGATCCAATTAAGTGGATTTAAAATACATCTCCTTTTGCTTTGCTAATTTGAATGGAAGCAAAATAGAGCAAAACAAACAGAACACCAGCTCCAGTCACGGGAATGGTTCAAGCAGGACTGCTTCTTTCCTCCACTTCAAGGCATCAGGAGTACTGGGACAAAAAGGCAAAGAGCTGGACAAGCCATCACGGCCAGATTTGCTCTTCTGTAACCCTGTATTAGTATCAAGTAATATAGGAGACCAGTTTTAGAGGTGGGAATGACAGCAAGCAACTGAAAGCCCAAGTATTATAAGTGCCAGAAGTCACTTAGTTCTGCCATGAGTTTTTTGGGATGCCTCAGTCAAGTCACTTAATCTGAAGCAACGGAGGTAACTTCATCACATTTCTTCCAACCTGAAGATAGGAGAAGGCAAAGAGTAACAAGCAGTGCTTGTCCCTCTGTGTCTGCACAGAGTGGTTTTCTAATCTCATTTTCTAATTTCATTGGGATAACTGCTGGGGAAGGTGGCGATGATGTGAGGGACTGCCTCAAACACAGCCCTACTCCAAACACCTATTTAATGATGTTCTGAAGCAAGGCACAAGCTCTTCCACAGAAAATTCAGGGTCAAGCTTTTGATTCCGGATATTCTGATTATTTTAAGGTTCTTTCAAACCAAGTCTTGGCACCCTTTTTGCTTCAATAGAAACAAACCACATATAAAAGTTGTATAAACTCAGGAAGTATAAAAATCCCATAGTAACTTTTTGTCTGACAAGGTTGGTAGTGTTTAATTTTTATTTTTTTTTTTCATAAAAACATAGTCTGTGCTCTATATCCTTTATCAAATAGATTTTGATTGGGACTGTTTAACGTTTCTTTTATAAATTGTTCCCTTTTGGCATAGCTAATTCTTAAATTTGGATTGGGTTTAGTGAACAGTTCTCATGTACCCAAGAAATGCACTTAAGCATCTTTTGTATTTAATAAATTAAAAAAAAAAATCTCTGATAATTGTTCAATTGTTAAAATGCATTTTGATAGCATGGGAGAAAATGCCTCACTTCTCGCATGCAAAGTTTTTTGTTTTATTTTATTTTCCTTATCACAACGGTGAGATTTTATGCCTCAGGCAGAGATCCTGATAATAAGCACTGGCTCAACTCTGAGCCCTAATTACTGGCATAATTCAGTGCAGTGCCTCCAACGTGATCACTGCCACATTAAGGACAGCCTCTAAAATTTACTGCATAAACCAGTATCATTAGCAAGATATCTGCAATATGTAGATCATGTGGCAGGACTCATACTTTGACCAAGCCCTGAAAGCAAGCAGCTATATCACAACTGCCCCCAAATCTGTCCTCAACACCAGGTTTCCCTGTGGAAACAAGCAAGGCAGGAGCCAGAGAAGCCAGCACATCCCAGGAGATCACCAGCCCCCAGTCTGTGGTCCAGACCTTTGGCATAGGATGCACCACCCCACGTCCACAGCCATCTATACATCCTCCAGTGCCTCCACTGGATCCAAGCAGCACTACGTCAAGACAGCAGGCCATCCTTGCATATTCCTGCTCAGGAAGAGGGCAGAAAAGGCTCCTTACTTGCCATGAGGCTTTCCCCAGTGCCACTCGCCCTCGTAGGATGCGCTTTTGAACTTGCTCTCCAGCCTGAAGACGTAGGTGAAGAAGCGGCAGGACGGGGGCTCGGTGCCTTCTCCAGTCTTACCCCACAAGGGGAAATCTCGCTTCCCGTTCAAAGCCTGGCGGATGGCTTGGTTCAACTTCCACTGCCAAACAGCCTGGGAAGAGAGGAAGAGGAGAGCTGAAGGTACAAGCGGAGAAAGCCAGATGGTCCACAAGAGATCCTCCAGGATAAGCAGGAAAAAGTCATGGGGCTCCCAAAAATTCTGTGATGTTCTGAGCTGGTGGGTTATAGCCCACCTGTTCTGTTTCCAGCACCCTGACCTCTAATATCTGCTGCTGAGTATCTGAGCCACCTCAGGAAGATATTGGTTCCATGAAGAGAAAGTTGTGCTACTTATTATTATGTTGAAACTAATCAAAAAAAAAAAGAAGAGAGAGAGAGAGAGAGAGAGGAGAAATCACACAAAGGGTTTTGTCTGCATTTAAGCAGCTGCAGAGCCCACTAATCTGTCTTCTGATCAGGAAGCATAAATCCTGATGCTTACTGATATGTCAGCTTCCACTCAGTAGCAAACATTTTGCTCCCACTACAGAGCTGTCATCCCTTCTATGCCATTTCCCTATTTCAAGGCTGTTCACACAATACTTTCAGGTGAAACAGAAAGGCCCTGACCGCTGCTAACCTTCATCTGTGGGTCTTTGGCAGAGAGAAAGAATGTTTCTTCTGGGGTTATAATGCGGAGTCCATACCTACAAAACAAAAGACATTTCAGAGACTCTGAAAAAAATGTTTCTCAGTCAAAGAGAAGCTCTTTTTTTTTTTCTTTCTTTTTTCGTTTTTTCTCCAGAAGCTAATGTCACTTTGACAGCCAATTTTTTCCTTCCAGAGAAGTACTCAACTGTCAAGTCATCTTTGTTCTCTAGGTCTGCTACCCCAAATCATTTTATTACTGATTTCAAGATGTCATGAAACACAAGCAATGCAAGCCCAAGCTGCTGTGATCCCACCTGAGAAGTGCTGCAATCATTTGCCCGTAGCCCAGAACCAACCCCACTAGGGAGAAAGGAACTGAGACAGAGTTTTGAACCATTATCTCAGTTCCACAATCAAGTAATTAAGTTGAAAACTTCCCCCCACACCTCCAAGAGGAGATTTTTTACTTACAGTCCTGGAGTTGATTTCTCCCTGCAGTTTTCATCTACCCACACAAGCTTCAGATCAAAGCTCTGAAAGCTGTTTCCCTGGAATAAAAGGGAGAAGATGTTATGTTGATGTAAACCCCTCCACTTTGCCCTTGCTGTGTTAATTCATTGAACAGCAGAGCAAGATAGGCAGCACAGTAAATTCCCTCTTCCATAGTTCATGTATCTATCTCATATTATGATGACAGATCTCAGAAACCAAAAAAATGTAGGAGAAGGAAAAACATTCTCAGTTTATCACTTTAAAGTAGTGGTCCATAAATCCACAGCTCTACCACTGACAGAAACAGACCTTCTGTTCCAAGACACCTTTTAGCATGTATTCATCTCTAGTAGAGTTTCTTCCCTATCGTATGGAAATGCTCCCAAATCATCCCTGACACAAGGCACGCTCTACTTCTGCTTATCTAGGATCTGGACTCAATGACACAGCCACAGAGTGGCCTGTGAGGACGTTTATAGAGTTACCACTTTAATCAAGAAGGCAACAAAAATAAGAAATAGTTGAAAAAATAGCTAAAGACTGTGTTTAAATATTACATGCCCCTTCACTGCCTAAGGTCTGGGTACCTACATTACAGCCTTGGTCTGTAAGGATGTAGTTGAACCAGGTTGGGTACTGGCACCATGGAGTTCACCATGAGTTAATCACTGATGTATCGACCAGATTTGGGGAAAATATGAAGGTTGGGATTCCCAACACCAGAGCTCTCATCAGCAGTCCCTGCTCGCATCCCAAGATAACCAGTTCAATCCCAGTTCAGTTATGTCTCCACATGCCCCAGTAACAGTCACAGCAGCAGATGAGACGCAGTGGGTGGAAACCGTTGGCTGAACAGAGATGTCTACAATGTAGATATCTCCCCGTCAGACGGTTACCCTGGGCTCTCAACCCAGGGGCCAATGGAGTTGAGGGCATGATTCAACTCATCCCAGTTTTGGCACCTAAAACAGGCCAGAAGAACCGCGCCCAGGCAGCGCGTGCTCCTCTCCCCTGACTGCAAAGGGAGCCCGGGGGGGATTTGCTCACAGCAAGATCACTGCAGAGCTAAGAAACCTGCTACGTAGAGCTGAACAAGATAATCACTACTCCATTTCCTGAGGCCTAGGCCCTGGCAGCCGAGCTGCCCGGCGTTATCACAAGGGCCCGTGTTTGAAGGAGGCTGTGGGATGTATCAGCTCACACGGCAGTCATGTGTTTAGGCACCTGGGGCACTGGCACATCACTAAAGGGAAAGCGAGGTGCGTGTGAGGAGAGCCAGACTAGATTACAGGTGCCGTCAGTCAGATCAAGCCAAGCTGGACTTCGTTAACATACCGCAGAACAACTTTGAACAAGTGCTGTGTGCTCATCCGTGGCTGTAGACACTCCCTGACTGCTCCACGCCCTGGCCCCAAATCCTTGAAAAAGCCCCAAGGATACCTACAGCTTCTGCACACATGCCACTAGCAGAGTCAGCCACGGAACTTGGTATTTAGTCCTGTGCTCAAGTATTTGAAGTGTGAGAGTTTTGACCCATTAGGACTCCTTTGAATGAGCAAGGACAAAAATCAACAGATCTACACACAGGCATGGGCTTGGGTTATTAAAAAGGTGTCTGTGGTGGTTAGATAGTACACAATTACTGTAAAAAAAGATTTGTGGATATCCATCTATTCCTACACACCCTAAGCTTTCTTCTCTTATTCTCCACTGCAAACCACAGGTGCATGGATCCAAGATAAGGTTTTGCACATATCCAAGCTCTGCTGCAGTTTCAGCATTACAAGAACATTAATTTTAGTGTCATTTATCTCTGCTGCCCTTCCAATCCCCCTGAAAGGCTGGAAAATTCACCTGAATTAAGACAAGGACATCATCAAAGAGCAAGATCCTGTCTGATCGATTTGTGCTGGCAGAGATGGGAAGATTTCTGCTATCCTCCAGCAGCCTCCTTTCAGGAACACACAGCATATCCTGCAAAAAGCACCACAAAGGTCAAGGTTGTGGAACAAGAGCATCAGGAAACACCAAAGTTAGAAGAGGACATCCAACTCAAGCCAACAGTTCCTGCAGAGGCCAGATACCTCTTGGCACAAACTGGCAGTGACAGCAGAACTGGACACAGTGTTCAACTTTTAAAGCAGCGAGCAGTCATAATGTTTCTTCAAGGTTTCCACACTGCCCTGCTGGTTTCCAAATGAAGCCCCAGATGCCTGATCCATATGAAATTTTCTCCATGGATAAGCAGACCTCCCAAGGAGGTCCTTGGGAGGACCCTTGCCAATATACACAATATATCTGTGACTCACTGTGAATTTGTAGCCCAAGGATTTCCATAAGGTCTTGGTAAAACAAGCTTCATCCAGGACTTGGCTGATGAAGGACTCCAGCTTCACATATTCCTTGACAGTGCTGGTAACCACGTCCTTTTCAGAGCCCTGATAAAGGAAGGCAGGACTTGATCAATGCTTCAGGCATGGGTATGCAGGGCATCTACTCTTGGGGCTACAGCTACCCAAAACCCTCAGCAGCTCCAAATTCGAAGGACTAATCAAGGTTAATCCTCCAAACCCTTCCAGCTCTAACATTATCCCTGCAGCCAGCAGAAGCGTGCAGCCTTAGGTCAGTTACTTGACCCTTGCAGGTCCTCTCCATGACGAGTAGCTCGGACTATGCTAGAGGATCCTCTCTTCATTGCTTTGGGACCTTCAGGTGGACTGTGCTCCACCAGTGCTGGTTAGCACCACTTTGGCCGTCCACTGGAAAGCATTTTCCTTCCAGCCTGCTTTGAATTCCCTCCCACCACCACAAAGCCCCTCAAGTTCTCCATAAGATGTTAACATGAGCCAGATAAGTAACATCACACAAAGGCCCCTACCTCTTTGAGAACCTCGTTCAGCTTGGTGAGGAGCAGTATATATTGCTCGATGTGGTCCCGGATTGGTTTGTGAAGGACAGTGTATAAGGCCAGTGACATGGAGGTCTCAGAGGTGAAGTCCGTGAGGAATTGTTTCAGCACTGTCTTGTGGTGCTTCCAGGCTTCGCTGCAAGGTGACAAATTAAGACAAAGGCTCAGCAACCAGTCCTTCTACAAACTGCTGCTACTCTGCTTTCCAAGCACTAAAGGCTACCTCACTCCCAGAAAAGATATTAAAAGACTTCAAAGAGCAGGAGATCTTTCCTCATTGTCCTATTTTGGTGTGTTTGGTGTGCAAATGTTTGCACACCAAACACACCAAAATAGGACAACGAGGAAAAAAGCTTCATTTGTTCTGTCTCTGGCCCAGCTGCTCTTGCAAATATGAATCACACCCACAGATGCATGGAATATGGCATAACTTCCATGATGGTTTGTGCACTGAATGACTCAGATATAGTGATTATAAATCCTCTCATGCCCTGCTCTCATGCTTTCATTTGCTGTTTTCCATGAGGCTCTGACAATATCCGGAACCAGCAGTGGAAACTCCCTGCCAGGTTCCCACAAAATCCTTTCTCAGGTCCCACTCCTTCCCTGAACTCCCAAATTTATTGGATTCCTCTTTCCCAAATGTCTGAGTTGTGCCTACTATGAAGGAGATGGAGGGAGATCAGGGGAAACCTTTCAGCAGCTGCTCTGGTCGGTTCAGAGGAGAGTCAGCTACACCACAACACAGAGATCATCACAAGGTACAGTGCTGCTCGTGCTCGTTTAGTGTCTTAACTTGTACAGTATCACTGTGTTCCTATCAGCCCTTAAATATGCATTTTTCACTGACCTTTTGCTCTTTGTGGCGTGTTCGAAGCCATGGACTACAACATAGTTGGCAAAAGTGACGAAATATCTGTTGGCAAGAAAAAACACACACACACACGAACATGAGTTGAGTTAAAGATGCATGTTAGCTATGAGGTTTAAATGACAGAAGGAAGAAGATCATTTGAAAATGTGTCAGGTCCACATTTTCAAGGGAGACAAAGACACAGCTACTGGACCTCCCACCTTGGCTTGCATACTTTTTGTCCTCAGTGGTTTAAATTTCTCATTGACTTTGCACGAGCAGTGTCTTAGGAGCTTTAAGTCTTCCCAGCTTTTAGCACAAGCATAAGTTGTGCAAAAAAAACTTGGAAAGGATATCTACAAAGGCTGATCGTAAGAGATCAACTTCAGATGTATGAATTTCTACTGCTCGAAGTAAATCTATCAGGCCTACATTACTGGTGGTAAATTCAAGTCAAAGCGTCCATGTCAATGTATCTGAACTCACACTAGAGGGAGATCGAGCTGTATTTTGTCAGCAAATACCATGTTTTCTTCCAGTAGTGGTTTCAGATAAATCAGATATTCTGTTCAGTCTAATTATCATTGATTACATTTTCAGTAGTTACTACTGATTTTCAGAACCCTAAGCAGGGGCTTTTTTTACTCCTACATCACTGCAGGAAGGATGAGACATTAAGTTTGCACAGAGTGAGTCAGCAGCGGTGGGTAGGAACCAGCATTTTTTTTTATTTTTTTTAGGACATCCAACAAAAACAGACTTAATTTCAAAATGAAGGGAAAAGAGATCATCAGATAAGCTCCTCCTTTTCACCGGCTGAAACCTCAACACAAGTTTTCATCTCTTTTGTGCCTTTTTAAGACAAACCAATTCTAATTCACTGAATCAGGCTCCAAACGAACATACTCAGCTCCAAAGCCTGTTCACATAAAGGCAAAGTTTGTAGTGCATCGCTTCCCAAAACGATGCTGTCAAAGTGAAAACAAAACAAAAAATAGTCCTTCCTCCTCCCTCTGTGTACCCATATACAAAACCAAGAGTACTAGATGAACAACTATCTCCAAGAGCCAGAATGGCCATCTCCCAGTCCTGTGTGGGTGCCAAACCACCCAGATGGTACCAGCCCATCTAAGCAGAGCTTGGCAGTATTTGAGATGAACGAAGGACCAAACATCATCTGATCTTTACGTCACCTCAGGTGCCCATAGCCTGTTTGTCATGGTAGGACATCAACACACAGGTTACACACACTCCAGTGGCTTTGGCAAACATTTACTTTGCATTGCAGACAGATGGGGAGCAGACATGTAATTAATTGTAGGAACAGCTATGGGGCAGTATGTTTTTCATATCATGCTACATCCATCACTTGCTATCATATCCCTTGCCAAAACCAAATAAACATGTCACAAACAGGTAATATGAACTGCGTCTGGTGACATCTCTCTTTCCTCATCCCCCCATCAGTCCTTTAAACCTTCTCATGTAAACCTTCCTATTCCTGTGACAACTCAGCCTTTGCTCTCAGAAGTCCCCCGGGCACAGGTTTTCCTATTGGTCTTCTTCCCATTTGTATCATGAATTTAAAAAAAAATAATAATAAAATATAGGTACTTGCAAGACAAATCCTACCTCTTAAAGGCCAAGTCAAATACAAGCCAATATAAAAAAGACTACTTATTAGATGGTCTGCAAAGATACTGAATACAGCCCCTTCTCTGACCTGATGACTGAACACTAATGAACACGACCGAGCATATTAAATGCATCCCTTTTGCACTAACTTACCATGGCTGGCAGAGGTAGTTGATAAATTCAGTACCTTATTCTTGTTCCAGAATACTTCTGTACTTACTGGATGTAGAGGCTTAGAAACAGGTCTCCTTTCCAGACAATGTAAATATCCTGGATGCAGAATGGCTCCGAAGTGCTGCATTTTTGCTTCACTATCCGGTAATTCTCCTCTGTGAGGTTCCAGAGAGCTTGAAACCGATCATTCAGGAGCAGGAAGAGCTTAAAGTTCTCCTTTCCTTTCTGGTCACTAGGCTCTTTAGGGCAGAAAGAGGGAAAAAAAAGGCCATCAAAAAGCCTTAAATCCAGGGAATCTTGTGCAAGACATTGCCCACACCAAGTAATCAGCCCAATTTGTCAGTGTGAAGTACATATATTCGTATAGGAAAATAATTCCAATGAGGAAGGAGATGATGATTATTCAGGGTTGGGCCCTTGTCAATAATTGCATGGGTTATCTATTCTAAGGCCTTCTCCTCTCTGTTCTTGTGGGGCATGTGGTCACGACAGCCTGCAGGGCTCAGACACGAGCATCAGAGGAAAACTGGGGGAGTTTTTGCCCCTGGCCCAAAGGTCTGCTCCCAGTCTCCTCGGAGGACAGACCAAAAAGGAAAGATGGCATAGGAGGGAAACAGCCTAGGGGCCTAATCCAGTCTCACCACTTTTGGCCAGACAAGCTTGTGAATATTTATGGATTTGTTATTTCAGTGGAGCTGCTCTGATTTACTGCCAGCTTAGAACCTGCACCCACAAGTTTCACCTTCAAAGATGGGCATGAGCAGAGAGGCAGAACGGGCACAGTTCAGGGGTCATACATATGCAAGAAACATTTTGGATTTCCATGTGTCATGCTGGAAAAAAGCCTTGGAAATTACACTGCTCAGAAATTGGATTAACCTCTAAAACCAACAGGAATCATAGTCCTCGCCTTGCATGAAAGGTTGCCCCCAGCAAGCCCTCAGCCATCAGGTTTCAGGTATAACTCAAGGGAAGATCTAGAGGCAAAGAACTAATCTTCTCCAACCTACCTGCCTGGAGCAGAGGCTTGAAGATGAGGGCATCTATCCGTGCCAGGCACGCCGAGAAGCTTTCTTCCGCATGGAGCAACGATGCAGTAGCTTCAGCTGCACACATGTCCTGGACACAACACAAAAGGCACATGTGAAGTCCCTGCAAGGCTATCCATCTACTGATGGCTTCGGTGCTCATTGCAAACATTCAGCCTTCCCTGCTCTCAGCAGCATTCACACGCGGATGTAATTGCTGTCCTCAAAAAGCATTTACAAATATTAGAAGAGGAAACAGAAACCCAACAGCTCAAGAGAGATGAGGTGGTGTCACGGAAGACCACTGAGACTACAGCCCATTTCCCTGATGCCCCAGCTGAAGAGCTTCTCACTATCAACCACGATACTTCTCCATGTGGCCGAGATGGCCCTAAACTTCTCGGTGTGTGTTAATCTTGCTTAGTGCCAGATTCAGTCTCCCAAAGGGAAATCCCTGAGGTCGCACAAAAGATGAAGCAGAGCATCTCTTCCCGTCTCTCACCAGTTTTCTGCCTGCATGCCTCAGCTTGCACCTTTTGGCATCGTAAGCTATCGTACGGAGCTGCAAAGCCCTGCCAGCCATTGCAAAGCATCCAGCCCTCTGGAGGAACAGAAGTCTGGTGTTACTCCTTCCTGAGCAGGACACTGCACTGCTGGTCGTATGTCACAACTCCAGTGTCAACAGGGACAGCTTGCCTAAAGTGGAAGTGGGCAGCACTTCAACTGAAGTGCTGAGAAAAAAAGAAAGAAAGAAAAAAAAAAAAAAGAAATCAACAAACCCATGTGAGCACACTCCAGTAGCTTCGGCAGCTTCCTCCTTCCTAGCCTCACCTCCCAAAAGAAATGTATCAGAGGAAGTGCGTACCAGCCAGCTAATAGCACGTCATGAGAGACTAATCTGGAAAAAGCCCAGGTGGTGAAAATACTACGGGCGGAGCCAGCTGATACTAACCGAGAGAAATAACACACAACTCAGACTCATTCAGCTTTGCGAAGCAAAACAGCAAAACGAAGGGACTGCGTATGGTCTGTCCACTTTTATCCTTGGCCTGGCTGGAGTGCAGGCTCAAAGGCTACACCCAAAACAGCAAGCGAGTGAGTGTTGGCATCATGCTGCGAAGATTGCTAAATTGGTGGCAGACTTTGGCACAGTTCTGAGGTGTGCCAACTAGCGCAGTCCCAGACAATGCTCAGACATGGCCAAGGGACCATTTGAAACAGGTAGCTTGCACGTAGCCACGCAGGTTGGGGAGGTGAGGAGAGCTCAGCTACTCATAGGTTATGCTGTAACCACTTGGCTATGGAGCCAGCCCTAATTTATTTACTAATAGAGATGTAACTAGCATATTTGCACTGTCCCCAGCAAGAGCTAAACTCAGGCTGTCTGCTGGCAGGATACTCTAAGGCATCCTAAGCTTCTACCCTGATTTCTGTAGATAGCAGATGAGACTCATTCTCCTCATGTTGAGATGTCCAGAAGCCAGACGTCTAAGCCTAAGCCTACTATTTACACTTCATGGGAAGAAATACCTTGAATATCTCATCACGGGCTATAAAAATTTCCCCGGGTGACTAAGTTAGGTGGGAGTGTCTCGTTTTCTAAGCTTCTTGGAGGCTGGGTTCATTGCTACACAAGCATTTGAGCTCTCTAAACTCACCAAACCCTGTTCAGGAGCTCTCTTTCCTTGTCATCCCAGAGCTGGGGGTGATACAGCACCATGGAATAAGGGACATTTTGCAATTTAGATGGTTAAGTGGCCTGGTTACTGGTTTAAGTGGTTGCTCAGGTCCAAACTACAGCTACATACTACATAGATGAACAACAGTATTTTCTCCTTCGTAAATACTGCCTCTTAAATTTCATTTGTCTGAAAAATGGGAAGCATTAAAAAATTCCATAATCTTATTAGTGTGCAAGATTTCATATATCAAGCTCTGCGTGACCGTAAGGCTATTTTTTGCAGCAACATTGCTGAATCGTCCCAGAGGAAAGCTCTGTGCATGCAACCAGGTCAAAATGCTGGAATCCAGGCTCCTCCTCGCCCCTCCCAGAGAGAGCAACTGAACCAGGAAAAAAAGCAAAACAAAGCAGCAGCCAGACAGCCCTCACCCCACAGCACCAGGAGGACAGGGCAGATAGTAAAGTTTATTTTCCACCACCGCTAATCAGCCTGTCTTGTAGACACAAAGATAAAGTTGTTTCTCAAAGGTACTCGAGAGCGTTCAAGCTTGTTGCGAATTTCTGAGTAGCTTGCTTAATCAGGGAAAAAGAATCAGGTTGGATAAGTGACAGCATTGCGCTTTCAAATGCTTCAGCAGAACAGTAGGCAGGCAGTGGGGGTGGTAGGATCACTTATTAGGATCACTGAGTAACTGTCTGGTGGGTTTTCATATTTTTTATGCCTGACTGCTTTCTCTCTCTCTTTTTTTTTTTTTTTTTTTTGGTGTGGGGAAGAGGGGGAGAGGGAGGGAAGATAACTGGTGTAGGAGGGGCTTGTTCTCTATCTGATCCTTTAGTTCTGCAAGAAAAGATTTTAATCTGGGCTGAACAAAAAGAATGGGTGGTAGATGCCAGCCTCAGAAAGACTTTCCCAAACCCTTCTCGTATCAAAACGGGCAAAGAAAAAACCCAACCACCAGACACAGGTGGTTTAATGCAAGCTACATGTCTCAAAGCAAGGGTGCAGATATCCATGGCTTTGCTCCACCAGCCAGGATAGCCCATGGCCAGGGGGCTGAGGAGCACAGATGCAACACCCAAGGAGCATCACTGCCCCAACCTAAGGCTAATCTGGTTATTTCTGTACTGAAAGGACCGGGGAAGTCCTAGCAGGTGTCTGGGACTCCTACTGGTCTGGATGCAGCATTGCTCCTTCCAACCATGAGCTGCTCCTCCCAGCCTACCTGCAAATCCCATGGCCGATCACCCATGAAGTCTTGAGCTCAGACTTTATGGGGACATCCCCAAAGCATCCCTGTGGTGCAGTACATGGGCTGAGAAACCCCTGATGTGTTTTTTTTTTTTTGTTGTTGTTTGTTTGTTTTTAAAGTAATTGTGTTCTTGTCCTTCCCAGGAAACTTATGGGCTAGTTCCAGCCCGAACACCACAGGTTAGGCTCATTTGCTGAAGGACTGGCACCAGTCAGGTTTCAAAACAGCCCTTCTAGCACCACAAAAAGACCTAAGTTGCCACATCCCCTCACCCAATAAGGTAAGCACAAGTCTCAGACATCACTTCCAGGCTTTCCCCATCAGCTCTGTAAAACAGCACTTGCACACGTATTCCAGCTCAGTCAGACAGAGGGGATTTTAAGCTCGTCACCTTGTGAACAAAACCAACGTTGACTCAGCCACAGGGTGCAAAGGAAACAATCAGGACGGTCTGGGGTATTCAGAGGTCACACTGCATGTCTGCACGCCTGAAAACTGAACAAGTGCAGTGGTGCTGGGTGTTGGGACCCGGCTGTCACACTGTCTTCCTTCCCCCTGCCTGGGTTTTTGTAATTCTGTGTTCGAGGAGGGGCAGGGCAAGCTTGAGCAGAGCTCCCATGAAGCTCATTCAGGAGGTTTTATTCTGGATCTTCATGCACGGCTCTGCTGTTGGTGGGGTCTCCAGGTCTACAAAGTCGGTGCACGCCTCAGCCAGAACTGCAGGATATGTGTCCCCTAAGGAAGGGTCTGCCTGCTGTGCACAGCATGAGAGCCGCTGGTTTTACATGAAGAAGTCAGAAAGTCTCCAGTTAGGATGGAGATCCCCAAAAGTCTCTGTAGGGCCTGCTGGGCAAAACTCAGCCACCCGCCTGCTTCAGGCTCCCACGAGGAATGGTGAGATCTCTAGGAGAATATTTTCCAAAATAGAAGAGGTGAAGAGGTTTCTGTTCCCTTTGCCTAAATGAAGGTACAGGAAAGTCATGTCTGCAGTCAGAGAAGGAACACAAGCAGCAGCATTCACTCAGAAACAAGAAAGGCCTTGAGAAACATCATCTGTGGGAGTCGCTGGATGTCTGAGGCTTGTCGTGTTCTTGGCCTGTTTGCCATGCATGATGACGGGGGCAGAACAAAGGGCAATGGAGAAGCTAACGGGAGCATAAGCAGTTCCCAAGCATCCAACAGAGTGAGCAGCCTGGATCATCTGGAGAAGCATTTATCCTCAACAGTGTCTGTCCAAAACTGTACATCAGCAAAGCACATCTCTTGAGGAGCCACAACAGGAAGTTACACCCAGTTGGAGGAAATTGGTGGAACAGTTAGGAAACCAAGCAAAAAGACAATTTGGTGAACTGCTGAGCTTCGTTTTCAGCTTTGTGGGGTCTGTTGCTCTGAAGCAGCTATTCCACCATGAAAAAGCCTGGAAAGCCCCTTGATGTGAGACATGGCACAAAGTTTGTCCTGGAAACACATCCAGCCAGACGATCCAATCATCTCCTCAGCAAGGAAAAAAGTGGATCTTCATACAGGGACTGTTCATTTTCCATCTTCCTCTTGTGAATCCCCTTCTACATTAAAGTTAATCTTCTCAGTCTATAAAAACAGTCCATAAAAACAAAGACTTCTCAGGAGAAACATGGCAAGAGCAATGCCAGATTTAGGGAGCACTCAGGGCACTGTAATACTGAGCTGCATGGGATGTAAAAGCCATGACCACATTTGCTGTAGTCCCTCCCGGTGAACTCTTCTCTTTCCCTGCATCAGCCTTCCTAAGGGACATTGCACCACTGAAGCCCTTTCAATCTCCTCCATCTTTGCAGTTCCCGATCTTTCTACTGCCAACAGCCTCAGAAATGAGGCCTGTCTCAGGCTTTGTCACATCCACTCCTCAAACAGGACAAGTTTTCCCTTTCTTGTCCTTTGAGAGGCAGTCAAGTTATGGCCATGTAGCTCAAGATGTACCATCATGCTACAGAGCACGTCCAGGGATAAAGCTGCAGTAATTCAAGCTGTAGTCTAGAAGCATATAAAAGCAGCCTAAAGTGAAGACAAGAGGTACAAAAGATATTTCTCCATCAGAGTAAACCCTATACTCTTCTCCAGATATCACCTTTCAGTCTGTACTTTCTCTCATGCTGGTAATGGTGTTACTTGTCACTAAAGCTACTAAATCCCTCTGAGGATGCAATGAGCACTTAAACTTAGACTGGTAAATGCCCTTCCACTTAGCAGCAGATTGCAGCCTGAAGCATCTGAAAGCAAAAAGCTTGCTGGGACTTTCAAACCACCCTGTCTTCTAGGAGCTCAGGACACACAATTCCTTTCCCATTGTTAACAACTCACTTTTCCTTTGCATGACCATTATACTTTTCCAGAGTACTTTGTTTTCCAGTGTATAGCTCTACAGGATGCACATCACAGAGTAGAATACCATACAGTTCTGCACAAAACCTGCCAGTGAGTTTGTCACATTGAGTTATTACAGATCAACGCTTTCTGTCACATCACAGTGATGCTCTGCGATAAGTATAGGGACCTTAAACTGAAATGAACATAGACCTATGTATGTTTCCTCCTTTCATTCAGCTCAATGCTTGTGTCACCATGAGCAGAAAAAAAATATATTTTTGAAGGGGAAAAAATGGATTATCATAAGGGTTCATCTTAATGTGAGGAGAATGAAGGAAAACTTTGTTTGAACTTGGACCTATCCTTATTTGCCAGATTA